TATCGGAAGTATGTAGAATTTTCCCATAAAAGCACAAAGAAATTTTCAAGATTCTCCGAACTCAAATTCCAATATTCATAAAATCTTGTAAAAAAAAACATAGAACAAAAGAGCGATTTAGGATCTTGAGAATTTTCTCTTCGAAGAACCAGGAAGATTGCAAACTGCAGGTGGACGGTCCGGAAATTTGCGAAATAATTACTCAGTATCGGAAGTATGTAGAATTTTCCCATAAAAGCACAAAGAAATTTTCAAGATTCTCCGAACTCAAAATTCCAATATTCATAAAATCTTGTAAAAAAAAAACATAGAACAAAAGAGCGATTTAGGATCTTGAGAATTTTCTCTTCGAAGAACCAGGAAGATTGCAAACTGCAGGTGGACGGTCCGGAAATTTGCGAAATAATTACTCAGTATCGGAAGTATGTAGAATTTTCCCATAAAAACACAAAGAAATTTTCAAGATTCTCCGAACTCAAAATTCCAATATTCATAAAATCTTGTAAAAAAAAAACATAGAACAAAAGAGCGATTTAGGATCTTGAGAATTTTCTCTTCGAAGAACCAGGAAGATTGCAAACTGCAGGTGGACGGTCCGGAAATTTGCGAAATAATTACTCAGTATCGGAAGTATGTAGAATTTTCCCATAAAAGCACAAAGAAATTTTCAAGATTCTCCGAACTCAAATTTCCAATATTCATAAAATCTTGTAAAAAAAAACATAGAACAAAAGAGCGATTTAGGATCTTGAGAATTTTCTCTTCGAAGAACCAGGAAGATTGCAAACTGCAGGTGGACGGTCCGGAAATTTGCGAAATAATTACTCAGTATCGGAAGTATGTAGAATTTTCCCATAAAAGCACAAAGAAATTTTCAAGATTCTCCGAACTCAAATTTCCAATATTCATAAAATCTTGTAAAAAAAAAACATAGAACAAAAGAGCGATTTAGGATCTTGAGAATTTTCTCTTCGAAGAACCAGGAAGATTGCAAACTGCAGGTGGACGGTCCGGAAATTTGCGAAATAATTACTCAGTATCGGAAGTATGTAGAATTTTCCCATAAAAGCACAAAGAAATTTTCAAGATTCTCCGAACTCAAATTTCCAATATTCATAAAATCTTGTAAAAAAAAAACATAGAACAAAAGAGCGATTTAGGATCTTGAGAATTTTCTCTTCGAAGAACCAGGAAGATTGCAAACTGCAGGTGGACGGTCCGGAAATTTGCGAAATAATTACTCAGTATCGGAAGTATGTAGAATTTTCCCATAAAAGCACAAAGAAATTTTCAAGATTCTCCGAACTCAAATTTCCAATATTCATAAAATCTTGTAAAAAAAAAACATAGAACAAAAGAGCGATTTAGGATCTTGAGAATTTTCTCTTCGAAGAACCAGGAAGATTGCAAACTGCAGGTGGACGGTCCGGAAATTTGCGAAATAATTACTCAGTATCGGAAGTATGTAGAATTTTCCCATAAAAGCACAAAGAAATTTTCAAGATTCTCCGAACTCAAAATTCCAATATTCATAAAATCTTGTAAAAAAAAAACATAGAACAAAAGAGCGATTTAGGATCTTGAGAATTTTCTCTTCGAAGAACCAGGAAGATTGCAAACTGCAGGTGGACGGTCCGGAAATTTGCGAAATAATTACTCAGTATCGGAAGTATGTAGAATTTTCCCATAAAAGCACAAAGAAATTTTCAAGATTCTCCGAACTCAAAATTCCAATATTCATAAAATCTTGTAAAAAAAAAGCATAGAACAAAAGAGCGATTTAGGATCTTGAGAATTTTCTCTTCGAAGAACCAGGAAGATTGCAAACTGCAGGTGGACGGTCCGGAAATTTGCGAAATAATTACTCAGTATCGGAAGTATGTAGAATTTTCCCATAAAAGCACAAAGAAATTTTCAAGATTCTCCGAACTCAAAATTCCAATATTCATAAAATCTTGTAAAAAAAAAACATAGAACAAAAGAGCGATTTAGGATCTTGAGAATTTTCTCTTGAAAGAACCATGCAAACTGATTCAAGTTTCAGAACCCTACCTAGAGTATTTTTGAAGAATAATCAAGAAATGTGTACTACTCTGAGGCGTGTCCGAAGGGCTTTGCACAAATTCAAGCTCCAAATTTCAAAAAAATACCGAATTTTGAACACACTTTTCTAGAAGTTACAATTTCAAATTAGTGCCAAGGCCTTATAAACTGAAATTGACTCTGAAGGATGTTCAGGATCCAAATTCTCAAAAACTTTATTTCAAAGTCTTATAAAACTCATCTTAATTTGAATTCCAGTTTACTGAGTCACTTAAGCACACTACAACTGTTCAAGAAGCTAAATTAGTATACAGATTGGCTACTCTAGGACCAGTGGCGTGCCCGAAAAGCTCGGCAAAAATTTAAGATCCAAATTTCAAGAAAATATCGAATTCCAAAATTTGCAATCTAAGATTGGTGCCAAGTCCTTCAGGCATGTTACAAGTCCTAGGACAAACAGTCAATTTACCACGCTTTTTCTGTGTTAAACAATTTAAAGTGAAAATAGAATTTAAATATTAAAGATTAGAAAATATACAGGATCTGAAATAACTGTAAATATTGTTGAATTTTTATGAGGGAAAAATGTAAATGATAAATATATCTATAGGAATTTGAATGGAAAACTAAAAATAAGTGTGAAATAGTTAAAGGCAATTTTGGCACGTTACAACCCCCCCACTCCTACGATAGGAGGAAAAGTTACAAAGAAACTTTTCCGACGATAATCTAAGCAAATTCAAGAACTAGGATAATATGAAGAATATCAAATTTATGTATTTATAATTCAAACTTCAATGAAATCGAAATGACTATCAAAGAACAGCAAACAAACGATTAATATCAATGAAGGTAGTTATGTGTCATCCCAGAACGAGTATCTGCTTACTTTGCCTTGGAAACACATACGTAAGACAACTAAAGTCTTCACTAAAGGCAAAGGCAAAAATGAGAAAAGTCGTAAAGGAAAGAAAAGTAGAGAAAAAACTACATGACACTGTCCCGTTTCGCGCCAAGACAGTAACAGGCAACCAAGACAATCAGCTCTTCGCACAGTAAGCAAAACAATCATGTATATCAGGAATCAAAAAAATAATGAAGTTAAGAATTTAAAACAAAACATAAGAATTAGAAATAAAAATAATACCATGATGGACATAGGTTTCTTCACCAGGATAAGGTAATGATAGAACAACCACAAACCTATTCCTCAATGACCTAACATATCCTATTCCTCAATGACATGTTAGGGTGATGCTGTGATTTCCAGTGGGAAGTTACTGGATAAGGCTACAGAAAATATGGCTTGCCGAGAGTATCATAGCAAAGGATTTGAATAATAATAGTTGTTGATTGGCATCAGAAGATAACCCTTAATCTGACAGAATTGATATTAAAAAAAAAAAGAAATAAGTTGATTACCCAGTGTCTGACTGATTGGTAGTTGAATGGCATGGTCATTACCATACAAATGATGTTCTCTCCCAAACAAAATACGGACTATACCCAGTAACTTCGCTTGGTAAGGTACGAATACGCAATCAATCTTTTGGACAGGTTCGTCGCAGGATCTATGATCTTCTTGGCGCACAAAGGTACGTTACATGGTTTTAATGATACGATAATGAAGTCGAAGAGATAATGCGACTTAGCGTAAATGAAAGCTCCAACAGTCGCTGGTCTAGCCCTGTGTGCCTGGTTAGGAAAAATGATGGAAATTTTCGATTTTGTATCGATTTTCGAAAACTCATTCTGAAAACCAAAAAAGATGCCTACCCAATTCCCTACATTTCGATCTTGGACAATCTACGCATCATCTCGATTGATATTAAATCAGCTTTCTGGCAAGTTCCTTTAGCCGAAAACTCGCGCGAATACACTGCTTTTACAGTTCCTGGTAGAGGTTTGTTCCAGTTTAGGAGGATGCCTTTTGGTTTATCTAATGCTCCTGCCACTTGGCAACGTATAGTTGACACTATTTTAGGTCCTGAGCTTGAACCAAATATAATGGTATATCTGGATGACATCGTAATTTTATTCAACTCCTTTTCCGATCATCTTAAACTCTAAGGGATTGTCTTTGATAGACTAATTGTTTTCGAGACGTAAGTGAAACCTAACTAAAAGCCAGGAATACGCAAATCCTGAATTATTATAAATATCCAAACCTAATTTTTAAACTATAGAAGGGAATACTTAAAATTTGAATTATAATTGTATATGAATTCAACTTTTCACTATTCTCCAGCTTTTGTTTTTGGACTAATTTACAGTAATTTTTATAATAATTTGAATTGTTTTTGAGATATAAAATAATCACAAGCCAGGAATATTTAAAATTTAAATCAATATAAATATTTAAATTCAACTTTTGACTAGTCTCAGCTTGATTTGACTTATTGAAATGTTTAGAAATATCATAAATTTGTTGATAATACAATGTGTAAATGTGTTTCTAATTATTATTTTTCCTTTCGTTCAACTTTTATACCCACACTTATATTTATCTGTATGATAATTCAATAACTGCTGTTTCTATTTAAATTTTTTTGACAAATACTACACTCAAACGTAAATTTCTCTGATTTTATTTGCAAATATAATATCAAAAGTAAATAATTTCGGGAAAAAATTAAAAAATATATAAAAATATAATTCAAAAATGTGCAAGTAACCTATTCCCACAGGTAGAATTCTCTTGTTCCTATTTTTACAAACAAAATACCTATGTCGAATAATTAATTAATATTACATAATAACCTGATACTCAATATCTATAAATAAACATATCAAAATGCTTTATATGATGATGGCACGAAATAGTCAATAAAACAGTAATACATTCATAATATCGTATAAAACTTAACAACGATAATAAAATTATGCAAACACGTTCCGGCAAAATACATTACAAACTGAATGTTTAGGGAAGTGAAATTCATTTTGCAATTTAATAGTCCGTATTAATGATCCATTAGAATTCATTTGTATTGAAGCCGACAAGTTCATTAACGGTATAGAAGATGGAGCCACATTTACCAGAGATGATAATTTCAACATGTTTGTTCCACCTTAAATATCCAAGTTTGTTTATATGATAAAATGTTTATACAACCTTTGAGCCAGAATTATAATATTTTGTTATGAAAACTCTGCTTTTTATATAAATAAAACCAGACTTGAAACACATTTTGTTGCAAGCTAAAATAAATAAGACCCCTTAATTTATATAAGTAATTTTTATACCTATACGTCAAGGATTTAATTATAAGTATAAGATGTTTTGTAACTTGTACATTATTACCATAATCAATGAGGTTTTTAAGTATTTAGTAATTTGCTTTTAAAATTGCTTTCGGCCAATTCTACAAAATATAGAGTACCTTATATGGAATAATATGTTGAAAACGTGACCATAGACTTAACATATAAACTGCAAAGATTTATAATTATGCAGATGTTAAGTGCAAAATCCAAAAACAAGAATTTTCTCACGCAGGTTTTTTGCAGTAAACACCTTTATTAGATTTTGAGTCAATTTTCCCTCAGACCACATGTGTTTCGTTTTAAATCACTGACCCAATCTCCCCTGTATATAGCCACAAAAAAAAATAGTTCAAAGTGGCTATTTCTTAGAATAAAGCTCTTTCCGGAGGTCACAAAAAACTGTTCGTTTAAAAATAAGAAAAAGGTTGCGCAATAAAACCGAATGCCACCTTTTGAGGGACCATAAATAGTTCACTTCTCATAATGCCCTTCAAGGATACGTATGTAAAAAAAGGGTTGTTTTTGGTTCTACGAAGCTTATTGTGCAATTTTTGGGTTCATTTACAGTTATGTGTGTTTTTAGGAAATGCATTTATTCAACACCCTCTGTTAATGTATTCTATAGAACAAATATTGTGTACGGTGTTGACGGGATAAATATCGAGGGAAGGAAAATGCCCCCTGTTTTTTGGCTTGTTATTTATAAAAGGGGTTGTTGCTTCTTCGAGAGTAATCTTTAGCAGATCACCCCTCGAAACGCTTAATTGATGATTTATATGTACGCACCTCGCCATTTGCTGTATAAAGTATAAAAGCATTTTTTGTTTTTGCCTGAAATAGAGTTCGTTTTTCAAGACTAAAGTAATTTGCATATTATACGATAATGAAGGAGATATTAAAATCGATTGAATTTTTTTTTTTGCGAAATTATAAAATGAAATATGTGATGAAGATAAGCAACAACATATGTTAAAATAATAATTATAACTTTCTTGAAATATTTTCATAAAGCAATACTTTTGAAAAGTATACGGCCAATTAGTAAGACAGGCCAGACAGGTCGCTGGCCATGTTTTCCATATTAATGGCCCAATTGGTCGGATCTCGCTTGCAGAAATTCCATCACAAATTACGTAAAAACGGCATCGCCGAATAGCGCCGAACGGGAGATGCGGGATTAAAACAGGAGTCCCGTTAATAAACGCCATTCATTTCGTGTATATACCTACGAAAAACAACTCGGTCTGAAAAATGTCCGACCGTTTCTATGTTAATTTTCGAGCCGAGCCAGAAACCGTCTGGAGAAAATTTGATCGTTGATTTTTTTTTGTTGGGCGATAATTACTTCATTGGCGTAGAACAGCAATTTTATTGTGACATTTATGGACGATTTGTTAACAGTTTAGAGGAGTGATTCAAAGGATGAGAATATTTCACCGCTAACCAGAGAGGTGATTGTAGATCTCGATGAAATCTACTTACAAAAAAAGAGTTAATGGTGATAATGGACTTGATGATTACTTTTTGAAATTTGCTTTTGGATTTTTCAACTTTAAGGCCCTAAGGTTTATGCCAAGACTAAGTTGCAGAAATTCCAATTTCATTGTTTCTAGCTTGATCTCAGACAGAGAATTTCTAATTATCCAAAAAACATCAATGCTCATGAGCAATTGACTATTTTCAGAAGATCCTCGAAGGACCATCTATTGACAATCAAATTTTATCAAACCGGTACCCAGTTTTAGTTGAGGATCCACTACAGACGTATTGGGTTTCTCTGATAGTATTTTTGAAATTTTTAGAACCAATTAATATGTTGGAGCCGGCTCAACCAAATATAGACAAACTATATAGTCTTGGAATCGGGAAATTGTACTCTTCAAGAATATAGAACCAAATATAGGGCATCCCATTTTAAAAAAGCCGAAAGCATGCAATATTTCACATTTCTGACATTCATTTTTGTTTCTGACCATGGATTCTAAAAATTTAGCCAAAACTATACAACTTTTGTAATTATTTACACCTTTCATCTACTTGTAAAGGTGAAGGCTGTAGGTGGGGTGCCAATATATAAAAAAACACCCTGTAATTGAACAATAACTTATTATATAAAGTCAGAATATGTAAGATTATTATCCACTTTTTGTCAATTTGCCTTTCAACAGGAATTAGTAATAACCAAACTGGTAATATAATGTGACAAGCTATTCAAGTACAAATGAGTGAATTGTTGTGGAACTTATGGGTGGACCTTTGCGGGACAAGCGCAGCGAGTTCCGCAGCCATCTATTCATCAATATGTTATTTAATCACGATACTAACCTGACTCACTCAAATGTGAGTTACTCTCATTAGTTTAAAAACCACATGTTTCAGGTGAATGTCTTACTTGAACAGTTCCACAGTATATTGGTGAGTAGATGGCTGCGGAACTCGCTGCGCTCGTCCCGCAGTGGTCCACCCATAAAATCCGCAACAATCCACTTATTTGTACTTGAACAATAACTTATTATATAAAGTCAGAATTTGTAAGATTATCCACTTTTTGTCAATTTGCCTTTTAACAGGAATTAGAAATGTTACTTCACCCAAACTAGTAATATATTGTGACAAATTATTCAAGTACAAAAGATTGGATTGTTGCGGAACTTATGGTTGGAACAGCCATCTATTCACTAATATGTCGTTCAAGTACAATACTAACCTGATTCACTCAGTTATGAATTTTTCTCATTAGTTCAAAAACTACACGTTTCAGGTGAGTGTTTTTTTTTGAACAGTTCAACAGTGTTTTAGTGGGTACATGGCTGCGGAACTCGCTGCGCTCGTCCCGCAGAGGTCCACCCATAAGTTCCACAATAATCCACTTATTTGTACAGGGTATTTTTTTTTATATATTGACACCCCACCTATAGCCTTTACCTTTACAGGTAGAAGAAAGGTGTAAATATAAAAGTAATACAGTTTTGGCTGAATTTTTAGAAACCATGGTCAGAAACAAAATTTGAATATCAGAAATGTGAAATTTTGCATGCTTTCAGCGTTTTTCAAATGAGATGCCCTATATGTCATTCTATATTCTTCATTCTACTTCTACAGGTGAAAGCTGCAGGTAAAATTTGAGGTACTTGGTTTCTCTGGTAGTATTTTTAAAATTTTTAGAACCTAATATGTTGGAAAGGGTTCAACCAAATATAGACAAACTCTATAGTTTTGGAATCGGGAAATTATGCTCTTCAAGAATATAGAACCAAATATAGGACCTGCCATTTGAAAAAAGCTGAAAGCATGCAACATTTCACATTTCTGACATTCAATTTCTGGTTCTGACCATGGATTCTAAAAATTTAGCCAATACTGTACGACTTTTGTATTTACAGCTTTCATCTACCTGTAAAGGTGAAGGCTGTTAGGTGGGGTGTCAATACATAAAAAAACACCCTGTACACTGAACACTGACGAGATGCAGCAACAATTAAACTTGCCTGTAGATCGGATACAAAAACTTAGAACCGATTTTCCCAGATTTAACTCTCAAATGTATGGTAATGGAACACATAGAACCGACTCGGTGTGGTGTTTGGTATCGAACGATCCGATAGGGATTCCCTCGGAGATTTTTACTGGGATATTTGAATTTGCCGTTATCTATGACCATTGACCTATGATATTTCGAAGAAAATCAATGCTAATCAATTGAAAATAAATATTAAGAAGAAGGTTTATAAGTTTTTGAAGAACCATGATAATGTATAATATGACTATTAATATATTCAATCATAGAAGTAGGTTCTTCTTTTCTTCTCTAGAAAATATATCCCACAAGAAAATTACTTCCTGATCATATCACTTACATCTATGGTATTCTAGAAAAAATCAATACTGATCAACTGATGTTAGGTTCCTTTTCGATTCCTTTCAAGCCATACAACTCAGGGTTGGATGAACCCACCGGGATATTCCCGGTGGGCCGAAACAGGATATTTATCAAGATACAGATATGGATATGAAGATAATGTAAATGACTGATAATGTAAATGTTCATCATATTCACGTTGCAAAAAATGTTTTGTATTAATACAGATTATATTATTATATCCGTGTTTGCAGTCATTTTTGAGGCCTGTACCAGTAAGTATGTCCTTATTTTAGCTTGTTAACAGGTAGGGTGTGAAAAATGCTTTTCAACACTTGAGGACATTAAAACTCTATTGAGAAATCGACTAACAATGGAAAATTAGGATGCGTTGGTGATACTGAACTTGAATAAAGACATCCTAGGGTTGTTGAAGATTCCCTTGGAAATGTTTAACCTAAGCCCCCCACTAGAGACAATATTTATCATTGTGCTTGTTTGAAATAAATAAACCAAATATAAAATCAGTATGAGAGTTATTTTCAATTCTGCGTTTTCATTCAGCATTTATTATTTCTTCACTGTTGTTAATTAAATATTGGATCACATCGGAATGTGCTCCATAAATCCATCAATGTATGGGCCGCTAGACTGAAATTACCCAGCCCATTCCCAAAAGTTCGTCCAACCCTGAACAACTCTTGGGAAAAATTTATTAAACAAATTACTCTACTGCATCAGACTTATCATTCGGATTCGCAAAACCTCAATGTCTATCCTTAACAAATACTTTTTGAAGTGAGGTTGAATATACAAGTTGCACGATTTGCATTGGTTTCTCAATCGTCCAACTTGGAACCGATAGAGTACGATGAGATAATATAGAAACCGCTTTAAAAGAATTTATAGGTTCCAAGACCAAGATTGATATCGAACTGAAGAATGTTTTTACAAGAGAAGGTCTAAGCCATGGAGCATGATACCTTTTGTGCTTATTCAATTCAAGATACAGTTTCAATCTTTTACACCCGAGAAATTGGAGACTACACTCAATTCACTGAAGCCAGATTCTAGTCCAGGAGAGGATGAAACTTCTACCATTTTCCTAAACAAATGTGCCGCAGTTCCTCTCAGCCAAGATGAATAATCTCCTTAGAATGGAAGAATGCAATTATTGTAGTGCCTATTTACAAGAAAGGCAACAAACACCTGTCTGAAAACTATAGGCCCATCAGCTTAACAAGCACCCTTTGCAAATGCATGGATAAAGTCTGAGATGACCGGATTTTTACTCAGAATGGAATCATCCTACCTTCCCAATACGGGTTCCTTCCTGGAAGGTCTACTTTCAAAAACATGCTTACCAAGGTTTATGAATGGACAAGGCCAGTCTGTGAATATATTTCACCTAGATTTTGAAAAGGCTTTTGATACCAGAAGTTTCCCATTCTTCATAAACTTCATCACTATGGTATAAGAGAACTTCTGCTCAACCTAATCGAAGGTTTTCTGCAGAATCGATAGTTCTATGTCAGGATAGGGTCCATGAAGTCAAATTCCTGTTAAGCTTTTAGTGGTATCCTCCAAGGCTCAATCCTTGATCCTCCACTCTTCCTTGTATATATTATTGACCTGCCAAATAGATTGATGAGTCAGATGTCCTCATTTGCGGATGATACCTGTTGTTATTACAATCCTGTAACGCAGAATGGAAGCCTTCAGGGGGCAAAAGATGCCATCAAGCAGTGGACAACCACCTGGCAAATGCCACTGAATGACTCCAAGTATTCAATTCTCCACCTGGGCAAAAACAACCCCCGATAGAGTATGATGAAAATACTAATATGGAAAACGCTTTAAAAGAATTTATGGATTCCAAGGATGAAAATACTAATATAGAAAACGCTATAAAAGAACTTATGGGTTCCAAGACCAAGACTGATATCGAACTGAAGAATGTTTTTACAAGAGAAGATCTAAGCCATATGTCCAACTTGGAGCTTGATACCTTCTGTGCTAATTCACTTGAAATTGTATCTTTTACACTCGACAAATTGGTGACTGCACTCAATTCACTGAAGCCAGATGCTATTCCAGGAGATGAAGAAACCCCTGCCATTTTTCTGGAAAAATGTGCTGTAGTTCTGTCACATTTCCTCTCAGCCATGATGAATAATTTCCAAAATGGAAGAATGCAATTATTGTAGTGCCTATTTACAAGAAAGGCAACAAACACTTGCCTGAAAACTATAGGCCCATCAGATTAACAAGCACCCTTTGCAAATGCATGGAGAAAGTCTGAGATGACTGGATTTTTGCTCAGAAATGGAATCATCCTATTTTCCCAACACAGGCCAGTCTGTTGATATATTTTACCTGGATTTTGAAAAGGCTCTTTGACACCATTTGGGAAACTTCTTCATAAACTTTATCGCTATGGTATAAGAGAACTTCTACTCAACCTAATCCAAGATTTTCTGCAGGATCGACAGTTTTGTGTTAGGATAGGGTCCTTGAAGTCAAATTCCTGTGGTATCCTTTAACTTTCCATTAGTCGCGCGTGTACCTGAGAGATACATGCCTATTATTTTTGAAAAAAAAAAAAAACAAATCAAAAAGGAAAAACCCTAGAATATTATGACTTGTAGTAGTCCTTAGGTACCCTATACTCATTACTTTGCCAAAATTACATGGTCGTACCTCTACTTGGAAATTTAGAATTTCCAAAAAACTAGGAGTGCGCTCGGCTTTGTACCTGACTGATACAACGCGACTTTTCTTGTTACCATCGGTGCTCCTCAATTGTTACTGTTTTCTTGGTATTTTTTTATATAAATATTATGGTACAAGAGGCTGTACATCTTAGGTGAAGATGGAACTCGATGAGACAAAATTCCTCCCAAGCTGACTCGGAAGAGACCACATAATATTATGGTAAAGCTACCGGGCGTTGTTGGCCAAACTGTAACGACTGCGAAAACAGAATCCAACTTCTGGAATCTTTTTTTCGGTAAAAAGTGATTGTTGAGTACACGAATAAATACATAGAAATTTTAAAACCGAAATTCATCAGATGGTTCAATTTTTTTATCAATGATTTAGTACATATGTCTCTGTGATACAGCGCGACTAATGATGTTATAAAAACTCGCGCGCCTAATGGAAGGTTTAGGCTCAATCCTTGGTCCTCCACTCTTCCTTGTATAGTGACCTGCCAAATGGATTGATCAGTCTACTAGACACATTAGCTTCAATGGGACCAGTTTACTGATACCCTTGTCACTGCATGTCGAGCTACAATGTTAATAAGATTTGCGTATCTTCGGCAGCTTGGTTAAACTTGGCCTCGACAGCTCGGATATAGGTGCTCGGGTACAAGTTAATTCGTCTTATTATTCCCTGTATCTAGTACAACATAAAATTTACCATGGAAAAAGGACAGAATCATGCCTTGCCCTTTCTGGACGTTCTCGTTGAGCACTCCGAAAAACACAGATAGGAACTTCAGTGTGTGGAAAACCCAGGCACATACCTATAGAATAATACTTACAAAATGACTGCAACTCATAGATTGCAAACCGAACAGAATTTTGAAACGTTATACACCAGAGCTACAATCATTTGCAACAATAAGGACTCCCTGGACAAGAAAATGGAGAGGATTAGGACAGATCCGAAGAAAAATTTTTGCGGATGATACCTGTTGTTATAATAATTCTGTAACGTAGAATGGAAGCCTTCAGAAGGCTATAGATGCCATCAAACAGTGGACAACCACCTGGCAAATGCCACTGAATGACTTCAAATGTTGAATTCTCCACCTGATCAAAGACAACCCCAGGTTGCAATACTCCATTGGGTCTACCCAGGTAATCTGTGATGCTGAACAAAATGATTTGGGAATTGTTGTCATTGAAGACATGAAGGGAACAAACCATATCAATGGCATAAAGAAGGCAAACTCCATCATGTACCTGATTTCCAAGGCATTTGAAGGAACCACACCCCAAATGTTTGTAAAGCTATACTTACAAGGCTTACATAAAACCCAGGCTGGAGTATGCCCAAAGTAAATGCAGTCTTTATTGTGTCAAGGACATTGAAGAGAGACAAACGCGTCGAGACATTCAAAATAATTAGTATGGACACTACAAGTGCCAGTTAATTGTGTTTGAGTTTAGTGACAGTCAGCATCTAAGGTATCATAACAAGAAACTCTGTAAGGAGGGATTTGCCAGGCTTCTGCATAGATATTTTTTGTCCAATCGATTAGTTTATAATTGGATCGACTCATTTGGGACACTGTAAATCCATCTTCAGTCAACTTGTTTAAAAACAGACTGGACAGATAAATGGCTGAATGGACAAGATCATTTGTGCACTATTGTTAACTAATAAAATATTTTCTTCATTATGGAGATAGCTTTTACGAAAAACTCTTTCCCTAATAATCTTATAAAAACCACAATCCTAGAAACAATTATATTTTCGCCATTTGGTTGTCTGAGATTCTCCGCTCCTGGCTTTCCGGCATTAATTTCCACTTAGAACACCTTTTCCTTCCAACTTCTAACTAAGAAGACATTAGTGTGCGACTCACACCCTTTCCTGAGAGACGAAATTGCCGGCACAGATTGCTGCAAATTCCCCTTCATGAGGTTTGTCACCTCTTGCCAGGAGTTTGTTAACTTACAGACGATCTTATTATAGAATGACACGGGGAAATTTAAGTTGAAAAGTCTCATGTTTTGAAAGTAGATTATTTTGCATTATACCTTGACATAGGGCAATTTAGGTATACAAGATGGTAAATTATTTATTAGGAGTTTACGCCCATTTTGAATAATTTTTGAGGTCAGAGAAGGGAAGAGCCGTTGAGAAAAAAATGCACCCATGAGACATGGTGAGATATATTATCTAAATAGGTAGGTACTTATACATAAAATTCAATTTGTTACGGATTAAATTAATCGGTGGTGAAGTGTGTGAAAAATTCAGTTTAACGTTTATTTTTGGTTTCACTGTTTAATAAATCTGCAAGCGAACTTTGAAAATTAGTCACTCTGGGACTTACCATCAATAAAATTAATTAATATTATTACTGGCTCAAGGCAATTAAAAATCCAATTGTATTCATACCTATGAAGCTCACCGCGAAATAACTCCTATTGCGGTTTGATTGATTTATTTCAAATAAATTATTTTTATGTCATCCTTGTGTGGGACATTGAAAATTTCTTGCAATAATTGTATTCATGTTTCTACCTTCTCTACCTAAGCATCACTTATATTTGTGGCAAAGTGTTCAGTGACTGAAATAAATCCTGGCAAATAGTAGATAAGGTAATATTTTTGATGAAACTTAAATCATCACCAATTTTTTTTTTTAGATCATAACCAAAAATGATGCTACATTTATTAACTTTTCTTTTGGTATGCTACCTCTACGTAGAGTGCCAACCAATAGCTCAAGGTCCTTTTAGTGTGAAGCAACTATTCGCACAAGCCAATACAAATAAAATCAAAGGTGAATATCAAAAACTACATCTAATTTTTTTGACAAATAGTTTCTTTTACAGCTATATTAAGCCGGAAATTCGAAGAAATTTTCAATCATCCATCTGATAAATCTACATCAACCTTCGTTGGTATTCCAGGAACTGGTAGCTGCACTTGTGTGCCATACTATCTTTGCGATAATGGAATTATTAATACTAATGGTAAAGGACTTATTGATGTGAGAAGCCAAGATAGCGTTTGTGAAACTTCCTGGGAAGTCTGCTGTGAAGAAGGCGACCAAGTCGACAACCCAATAGTACCACCTCCGGGTCCAAACACACAAGTTGGTTGTGGGTATCGTAATTCTGATGGTCTAGGTTTCAGGGTCCTTGGTAACGTGGAAACTCAATTTGCTGAATTTCCTTGGATGGTGCTCGTTCTTAGAGAAGAAAAAAATGCCACAGGCAGTGTTTATGCTTATCAATGTGGAGGTGGTCTAATTCATCCTCAAATGGTTGTCACAGCTGCTCATTGTGTTTACGGCAAAAATAAAGCATTCAAAGTTCGTGCTGGGGAATGGGATACGCTACACGTTTTAGAACTATATCCATATCAAGAAAGGAAAGTGCAAGAGATCATAGTGCATAATCAATACTATGCTGGAGCTAGCTACAGTGATATTGCATTATTATATTTAGAATCATCATTTGATGATGCTGCAAATGTTAAAACTATTTGTCTACCGCCTCAAGCACAAACGTTGGAGAGTGGTGACTGCTATGCAGCTGGCTGGGGTAAGGACGTATTTGGTAGAGAAGGCAAATCCGATGGAATTCTAAAGAAAATCGATCTACCAATAGTACCTAATAAGAAATGCCAAGAGCAACTGAGAAGAACTAGGCTAGGTGAATTTTTCGAATTGCATTCATCGTTTATTTGCGCCGGTGGTGTGCCAGGAAAAGACACCTGCAAGGGAGACGGAGGAAGCTTTTTGGTATGCCCAATACCTGGACAGAAAAATAGATATTTTCAAATGGGCATAGTAGCTTGGGGTATCGGTTGCGGCGAGGATAATGTACCAGCTGTTTATGTGAATGTACCTAAGTTCAGAGACTGGATTGATTGGCAAATGAGAGCTTATAATTTGGAAATCAGTAGTTATCAATATTAGATAGGAACTTGTAAATTGAAACTTCAATAAAGAATTCAAATTTCATTTTGCACAAGAATGCTTGCGTTAATTTATGTCTGCATAAAAAAAAAGTGAAGACAGCAATGCACTCATCAGAACTTCTAAATAATGCAAATAAATATACAGCTAATAAACCTTAAAAAAATACGATGCATCAAGTTTGAGAATAATAAGCAAGTCAGAAGAGCGAGGAAATTTATTCCGTACGTTCTAAGCCAAACCGTAGATTATCATGCATGCATGCGATCGGCCTGCATTATCTCAAGACAGTTTCGACGAGAAACTCCATTTCATGGCGGGTGCATACGGAATATGCATGGGCGCTATCGACGGGAGGGTGCGCGCATGCACATTCCACTATATGCCTGGCTGACTACATTTTATCATCGCTGGCATTGACAGTGTAAATTGCATGGCTTCAGAGGTGGTTGCCAGATTTACAATATTTTCCTGAGTATCACTCATCGAGCAATTTTTGATATTTTGGGGTGATATCAGCTCCTTATTCTTCAACCTTGTTCTCATCGACTATTCAGAAATAATATATGAAATTAAATTTTGTTTTTTTAAGTCCCCATTCCTCAACTTTCACAAAATTTGATTTTTGACAAAAAATAATAAGTTGAGCACTCAATATAAAGTCCATGCACGTTGTCCAGTAAATCGAGATATGACAAATAGGTAGGAATTTTCCTTGTTCCCTGTAGCAGTCCATACTCATGTTGAAATAGGCTTTCCCTAGCTTCTTCCAGTTATCCCTGTTCTGGGTTAGTTTGAGTAAGTTGCTATTTTCTGCGCTTTACATCATTCAACCAATGTTTTATGTAGTCGTGAATCCAATTAAATATACGTTTTGTCCATAACATATTGTCTGGCCAGGCTCTTTGTTCAACCCATATTCACTTTGATTTAGCTATTCGTCTTGTCCTATGACATCATCCATCTCTGTTCTTAGTTTGATCTAGTAATTGCCTGGTATAATCCCTGAGATATATTTCTCCCTTTATTCTTCTCTTCTCAATCTGTTAGCAAAAGTTCACATGCGTTCCATTACAGAAAGGATACATAATATGTTGAATATCTTCCTATTTAACGCTGTTCTTAGCTTTCCAGTCGCCTTCCACTTCAATTGGAATATTCTATTGATTTCCGCTGTTGTATTTAATTTCCCATCAAACTTGATGTTATGCCTAGGTAAGTTTTCAACATTTTCAACGATGACACTATCCAGATGATTTTAATAGTGTTCTCCCTTGTATAATGAATAACTATTATTACTGGGATGTTCAATCTTTGGGTGTTGAAGTTGCTCAATATATTGGGATATAGAATATCATCCATAACTCTTTGGAATGTAGCCGGCGCGTTCGTCAAACCAAAAGGCATGCGCAAGAATTCATAATGCCCTGTGCTGTGCTGAATGCGGTTTTTTCGATGTCGTTTTCATGCATCTGGATCTGGATCTGGTGGAAGCCGCTAGCTAGTGGTGAAATACTGGCAGCATCTCAACTTGTTCAAGAAATCCGTTATGTTGGGTAATGGGTATCTGTTATCTAAGGTTTTTGTATAAAGGACCCTAAAATCTACTATAGGTACCATACTAAACAAAAAAATATTCAAACTGTTTGTCAAAGTCGGTATAGCAAGAGCAACAAAAACATAAAACACACAAGTTTGATATAAAAAACAATTGTTAGGAATGTTAGGATCAGGAACTCAATATTTTTGTACCCACTGACTACACCCACTGCTCTGCCCCCATAGTAAATTCGCTACGGGGGTTCAAGCCCCCATTGCCCCCATGGTTTCGGCGCCTATGGTAGTTGCTTTTCTATTTCAACTGTGATTCCATCCTCTCACTGAGCTCCTCTGTGTTTCATCTGAGCCAAGTCAAGTTCTATTTCTTCTGTAGTAGTCGTGAATCCAATTAAGCATATGTTTTGGCCATAACGTAGGTCTGGCCAGGCTTTTTGTTCAACCGAAACCTACTTTGATTTAGCTATTCGTCTTATCCTATGACATCATCAATCTCTGTTCTTCGTTTGATCTAGCTACTTTCCGTATGATCCCTGAGGTTTATTTCTCTCTTTATTCTTCTCAAGCTGTTAGCAAAATTTCACATGCGTTTCATTACAGGAAGGATACATAATATGTTGAACATCTTCCGCTTTAACGCTGCTCTTAGCTTTCCAGTCGCCTGCCACGTCAATTGGAATCTTCTATTGATTATAGCTTTTCTATTTAATTTCCCATCAAACTTGATGTTATGCCTAGGTAAGTTTTCAACATTTTCAACGATAAAATAATCCAGATGAATCTAATACTGTTCTCCTTTGTATAATGAATAACTATTATTAATGGGATGTTCAATTTTTGGGTGTTGAAGTTGCTCAATATATTGGGATATAGAATATGATCCATAACTCTTTGGAATGTAGCCGGCGCGTTTTTCAAAGAGTTCATAATGCCCGTTTTCTGTGCTGAATGCGGTTTTTTCGATGTCGTTTTCATGCATCTGTATCTGGATCAGATGGAAGCCGCTAGCTAGATCTAAGGTGGTGAAATACTGGCAGCGTCCTAGCTTTTTCAAGAGATCCGTTATGTTGGGTGATGGGTATCTGTCATCTAAGATTTTGTATTAAGGACCCTAAAATCTCAATATTTTTGTACCTACTGACTACACCCACTACATACAATGCCAAAATCACTATGGGGGCGGAGCCCCCATAGCAAATTCGCTACGGGGGTTCAAGCCCCCATTGCCCCCATGGTTTCGGCGCCTATGGTAGTTGCCCTTCTATTTCAACTGTGATTCCATCCTCTCACTGAGCTCATCTGTGTTTCATCTGAGCCAAGGCAAGTTCTATCTCTTCTGTTGTAGTCGTGAATCCAATTAAGTAAACGTTTTGCCAATAACGTATTGTCTGGCCAGGCTCTTTGTTCAACCCATATCCACTTTGGTTTAGCTATTCGTCTTATCTTATGACATCATCCATCTCTGTTCTTCGTTTGATCTAGTCACCTGGTATGATCCCTGAGGTATATTTTTCTCTTTATTCTTCTCAAGCTGTTGGTAAAAATTCACATGCGTTTCATTACAGGAACGATACATAATTTGTTGAATATCTTCCGCTTCAACGCTGCTCTTAGCTTTCCAGTCGCCTTCCACGTCAATTGGAATCTTCTATTGATTTCTGCTGTTCTATTTAATTTGTCATCAAACTTGATGTTATACCTAGGTAAGTTTTCGACATTTTCAACGATGACATTATCCACATAAATCTTAAAATTTGGAATCCATCCTCCTTCCTATATAGTAGTATCACTCTTGCATTTTACCATGTTTCAGGAATAATTATTCTTATGCACTTTAATCGATTTTGTATTAGCTGTCCTTCCATTTCAACTGTGATTCCATCCTCTCACTGAGCTCCTCTGTGTTTAATCTGAGCCAAGGCAAGTTCTATCTCTTCTGTTGTAATGTCTGGCAACTATCCAGACCAAAGATTCATATTTTTATTAACTGTGTCCACTCTTTGAAAAGATTTCTCTTAAAATGTCCTTAGAGTATCAGTTAATCCATGGTTGTCTTCTGTTAGATTTCCATCTGGATGTCTAAGCTTATGTATTTTTGCACTCCCATTAGTGTTGATCATTTTCAGGAGTGGTATATTTCTTTTCAGTCATTCATCATCAACTTGAATCTTGAACCTCTGTATTTTTAATGAGTAAAACTATTTTATAGCAGACTTTACCTCATCACTATTGCCACGTCATGATCTTGCGTACTTCTTTTCAAAATTTATGCCCTCACGTCAAAGCTGATTGATGTGTTAGGTATGTCAAGCGATAATAAACACAGATCAGTTAAGTTAGCCCCCCCCCCCCCCAATAGAAAATTTCTGGATGAAAATTATCCCATAATTTTGCTCTCATTTTGCTCCATTTTGCTTCACTAATTTCGATTTTTGTTCCATTACAATGGAGAGACTATGTGGCCTATTAGGTGATGCCAGCCCCTCCAGTAAAAATTCAGAAATTTGATCATGCACATTTTGTTCTCCGAGTTTTGCTCTATTCTGCTCCATTATCGGCGAGTTTTGCTCCATTACCAGAAGAGACCTACAGAGCTCCCAAGAATCTCTCCCAGCCCCCCTCCCTCCCCAGTGGAAATTCTGAAATTTGATCATGCTCATTTTGTCCTCCGAGTTTTGCTCCATTTTGCTCTATGATCGGCGAGTGTGTGGGGGGGGTAGCATTAATTCAGCCCCCCCTCCACCTAATAGACCACATAGTCTTTCCACTGTAATGGAGCAAAATGGAGCAAAATGAGGGCAAAATTATAGGATAATTTTAATCCAAAAATTTTCTATGGGGGGGCTAACTTAACTGACCCAATAAAAACCCTATCAATAGAACATAAAATATTGCATCATTTTTGCGCAAATTCTCGATGTATATCTGACTACAAAAATCTGACAACACCGTCGCCAGATCTGCTTGTTCCCGAGATGCATTTTGACTCCCCGGGGGGTTAGCAAAATGGCACACACGCCCGGCCGTTTTTCTTTTCTATGGTTGCGCGATAAAAGAAATGGAGTTTTTAGAAAGGTTTTTAAAATAAACGACGGGAAAAGATACTTGCTTTAAGTCTGTTTGCTTTACTTGAATAAAAAGCGCAACCCATTCTACGTTCATTCGATAAATGAAAAAGTCGTCTTGGCTCAAGAACGTTTAAGGTTCAAGAGTTTGAAGTTTTCTATTTGATAAAATATGTACAAAAATTGATTTTCGTTCACTTGATTTTGGTCATTTATAACATACATATTATGTAAATGAAACAGTTGTATGCTTGAATCATAAGGGAAACCTTACACACTTTACAGACATGTTTTGAGAACAGATTATTCTCAGCATCCAAGTATCAATGCTACAAAAATTCAATACTTGAATCAACTGATTTCTGATTTCAATAAGTGAACGGTGAACTTTCAAAAACGGTGAACTTTCAAAAGAGTTTTTATTAAAAAA